CGGAGTGACCTGCGGGGGAGGCTGTCACGGCCAGGTGGTCAAAGAAGGCCTCCTGGAGGAGGTGGCATCTGGGTGGAGGCCTGCACAACGCTGGGCTATGCAAGGTCCCCACCATCGCTCAGCAGCTTGGCCCTGTCGCCCTGCTGCTCTGACCCCTGTTCCAGAAGGAACTGGGGCGGAGGTCTGCATGGGTACCCCGGGGGGCCCCCACCTCCACTGAGTTGCCCTGGAATAGCAAGTGATGCGAAGAAAACCACGGAAGGCGAGGGGCAACTAGGGACGGCAGTCTACACTACACAGCAGGTCCTGGTGAGCGGCGGGCACGCGAGCCAAGGGTGGAAGGAGCAGAGGGCGTCCAGCTTGGGGACCCGCAGGGGCGAAGGCTCCGAGTGGGAAGGACTTGTCACGCGTGAGGGTCGGGGGGAGACAGGGTCAGGATGCAGGCCACAGAGGTCAGCGAAGCACCAGGGGAGGGTCAGCATCTTGTTCTCAGAGCAACAAGAAGGGCTTTACAAAGGGAGACGCCGTGGTCCAAGCAACTGAGAGGAGAGGCTTTGCGGGGGGCTGTGTGGCTGGGGGCGGGGGGCAGTGTATTAGGGGCTGATGGAGTCGGGTGACAGTTCTCTGAAGATGGAGATTCGAACCAGGAGGTGATGGTGGAAGTGGGAAGAAGTGGACAGACTGGGCAATGTGCTTCATAGAATCAAAATGACGAGCTCAAGTTAGAAGCGGGAACAACAGCCTCTCCCCTGTCTATTCCACATCTTCTTGTCCTGGAATAACCAGGAATAAACTCCAGAGCACCCCCAGTTCCTTGAGTTTGTCTTCATGGCAGAGAGGCACGGGGGCCTCCTGGGAGGGTGAAGGGATGCTCTGAGTGCCAGGGCCATCCAGGAGGTGCTGCAGCCTGCCCCCTGGCGAGGGGGGCCGCGGGACGTGGGCACCAGCACTCGTTTGGACACCCCACAGCCCACTGGCACAACCAGCCTTGGATACACGGAGGCCTCGAGAGTCCTACAGTCTGTTAGGGCCACACAAACAAGAACCTCTGCAGCTACAGGAGACTCGCCACCCATCTCAGTCTTGCCACAAAACCGCCACGTGACATGGTCAGCCTCCACCTGGTGCTGACCTGAGATGCAGGTGTGAGAAACCAATGAGGTGATGGATGAGGAAGGGCTGCCTTAACTCTGCCCACCCCCCATCAATGCTCAATGAGAAGGTGAAAGACGGGGGTGAAGCCCCAGGTGACCCACCCTCCTCGGGGTCCTGCCCAGGAACTGGGATGCAGCCCTCACCCCCTACCAGCGACACGACATGACCACATGCAACCTGATGGAAAATGGGCAACAAGAATGAATGGACAACTCACCCAAGACTAAACCTGCTCAGGCAGCAAATACAGGAAGAGATTGCAACCCGGTGACTTCAAGGACATGCAAATCAGGATGACGGTGAGAAAGCATTTCACATCGCCCCACAGGCAACAAGGAAGACCTCTGGGCGATCCCGAGTGCTAGAGAGGCTGCAGGTCAACGCTTCGGGCTGGGGGAGCAGCACATGCGCAGTCACTGGGGAAAGCAGGTCTGTCCTCACCCGCTGCCACCAGGAATTCTGCGGCTCACTATAGACGCCAGAGACAGACGGGGGCCCCGGGACATGCGCATAGGGAGGCCTGCAGGGGCCCTGTTAGTAACAACCCAGACACCCCTCAGCCAGTCTGTGGGTGCACAGTTGGGGTCTATTCACCATGGCTGACACGAATCAACCACGGCCACAAGGAGACTTCCCCGGCGGTCCAGCGGTTAAGAATCCGCCTTGCAATGCAGGGGACGCAGGTTCAAACCCTGGTGGGGGGATCTAAGATCCCACATGCCATGGAGCAGCTAAGCCTGCACACCACAACTACTGAGTCCTAGCACTCTGCAGCCCACCCACCACAAGTAGAAGGTCACGTACGGCAATGAAAGATCCCGATGCCACACAGAAACCCCACATGCCGCAACTAAGACCCGACGCAGCCAAATAAAAAATATGTTTTTAAAAAAACAGCTACAAGGAACGACACATATGAGCTTTGTTAGTGGCGATGGGAAAAAAAAAAAAAGTAAATTCCAAAAGACCGCATAGTCTATGATGCCTTTCCTCTGTAAAATTAAACACAACTCAAAACAATGTGCTTCCGGGGAATCTATCAGTAGATAAACCAGACATCAAGATTCAGGAGAGACAAAGTGTGGCTTGGGAGGCGGAGACAGAAGTCGCCCGAGAAATGCTCACAAGGGGTATAAACCGAAGGTGCTCTCCTCATCATCTTGGTAGATACGAGGGGGAGGTCATCGTTTTATTTAAACAGAGGAAAGGCCTGGAGTGGGGGCTGAATGCCTTCCTGGGTCCCCCGGGGCCACACTGTTGATAAACCTGATGAGGGGTCACAGGATGCCTGGCGTGTAAGGCCCTTGATGGCTGGCCTGTGGTCTCGCCTGAGGCTCCTGACCCCTGCCTCCTAGGCCGCAGACCCCCGCTGCCCCTCCCCTGAGCAGTCACAGGCCCATGTCTTTTCCCCGCGGTTCCCTCCACCTGGGATCCCATTCGCTGGCCAGTGAAATCCCTCCCACCCTTCAGGACCCAGAGCAAGGCCATCTACACTGTCCAGACTGCTCTTTCCACCTGGAGTCTCACCTCTGAGCACCCGGCACTTCTCGTATGCTTTTCCCTAAAGTGTAGACCATCCTGCTGTCTGGTTGCTTGTTAAGGGCTCAGCTGTGTCCCCCCAACGTCATACGCTCAGCTCTAACCCCCAGGACCTCAGAACGTGTCTGTATTTAGAGACATGGCCTGTACAGAGGGGGTTACGTTACAATGAGGCCACTAGGCTGAGCCGTCTTCCAACCTGACCGGTGTCCTTAGGAGAGATTAGGGCAGAGACATCAGGGCACCTGCAAAGACCGAGTGAGCACACAGGAAGACAGTGACCATCTACACACCAAGCCCTGGGGCCTCGGAGGAAACAGCCTGTCTGGGCCCTGATCGCAGACCCCATCCCCAGGACTGTGCGTGGAAGCTGCCCAGCCTGCGGCCCTCGCACGGCCGCCCGAGCCGCCCCGCTCCCTGGAAGATGGTCGGCGTGTGGCTCCCAGGCCCGAACAACATCAGCCCTGTTGCCCATGGTCCCTGTGATGGTTCGGGATGGACGGACGCTCCCGAGCCAGGCCCCAGATTCGATCAGAGTGAGCCCCAGATCGTTCGCAGGCCTGTCCTCTAAAACTGCAGTCCCAGGGGTTTTCTTGGAGCCACCTCTCCTACTGGAGCCTCCTCTGCACGAATGCTCCTTGCCCCAGGCCTCTGCTCCTGCTGGGAATATACTGGTGGTATCCCCCGCCCCCCGCCTCAGCCTGCAACAGACCCCTCAATTCCGAAGCTCTGGGGAGCCGCTGGCCAGCAGGGCCTCCTTCGTCCTGGGACTCCCCACGCTGGAGCCCCACTATTGCACCATGCCTGTCACTATCACGATGCCACCAACGGGCTAGCTATTCCAAGACTGCCAGTGAGACTGGGATCAGCCCAACCCCAGGAGACTGTGCCACTCACTGTTGCTGACCTTGGGCAAGTCCCCCTGAGCCTCAGTTTCCCCATACGTAACACCTCACTTGTTAACAAAGATCCAGCTAAAATGCCAGAGCCCAGGCCTGGGTCCCAGAAACAGGGGGTAGGGGCGTGGACAGGAGAAGGTGAGAAAAGCAAGAGGGGCCATGAGCGAGGGCTCAGAAGACGGCGGGAGAGGAGACGAGCGGCAAGGGATGCACGGTACCTCAGAGTTGCATGCTCAGGGAGCAGGGTGAGGCTGGGAGGATGAGAAGGTGGGGACAGACAAGGACCGGGGGCCGCGGGAGACCGATAAGCAGGTGGGATTTCCTCCTGAGGCCGGGAGAGCCTCCCCAGGAGGTTAAGTGGAAGACGACAGAGTCCGGTTTCCATTTATAAGAGACAGTCCTGCCCACGGGAGGTTTTCAGGGTGGCCGGGGGTGCCCGGGGAGCCCCGAGGTGCTCCCGAAGGCTGGGGTGAGGACACGGAGCAGTGGGCAGAGCTGGTTGGATCTTTCCGACATGAACTCAATTTGCTGCTGTCAGGGCCGAAGGAGATGGAGAACCCAGGGGTGTCCCTGGAGCAGTCAAGCGGGTTGGGGTGAACCAATGCGGCCCAGGGACCCCAAGCTGACCTCACTTCCAGAGAAGCGCCCCACTTCTCGGCTCAGCAGTGGGCTTGCAGGGTTCCCGGCCACCCAGGTCCAGACGCACACAAGCTAGAAGACACACAATGGCCTTCTCCACCCAGCGCGGGCCTCCCAGCCACCATCACTCCAATGCCCTTTCCACCAGGCTTCCCTCACTATCACCGTGGAGACTGGATGTGCGGCCCAGCACAGTACATGTGTCTGTGTGTGTTTAACTGCACAAGGCACCATTCCCATAAGACAGGGGCTGGAGATCCGAATGCCCACAGAGGCCAGGCAGCTTGTATCAGGGCAGCGGGTGGACACGCGTAGGGACGGGTCCTGTGGCAGTGATTGGGCTGCCCAGGCTCCATCAACAGGGCGCTGCGTTCTCAGCTGCAGCCCATCATTAGCTCAGCGGACACAGGTAGAAGCTATCAGTAGCTCTTCCGAGTTTTGCAAAAGCAGCCACAAGTTCATGTTTTTAGGTGAAACGGATAACTTTAAAATTTGGGCGTCAACTTGCAGACCAGTGTCAGTGCTGTATCAGCCAGCTCGCCTGTGGGCACCTGGTCTGCAGCTCTGCCATGAACAGATGGTGGTGTGGATTCAAACCAGAGAGCTGACCGCCGCCCCATCACCGGACCTGAATGCTGCACCTGCAGGATCTCACAGCTGGGACGTTCCACCCTGGGGCAGGGGCAGGGGGTCCCAGAGCAGTCCCAAGGGCTCCTGGTCTCCCCACGGCCTGTCAGACCCTGCTCGGGGCGCCCGGGTAGCACATACCCACTTTGAGCTCCTTGCCGAAGACGGTGCGCTCCCCCAGTGCCGAGCAGTTCCAGCGGCCATTGCGGAATTGAAACTGACACTCGTCCAGGCCCATTTGCGAGCCTTCTCCTATGACGATGATGGCGTCGGGCCGGCTCTGGCAGATCGCCCGCTGTCTGGGAGCCAGGCCTGGGATCTTGTTACAGATGATGCTTGCGCCCAGAGCTACCACCGAGGAGAAGCCGCTGGAGCAGGGGACACAGAAAGACGGAGCGTTAGGCCGGCGAGGTGGAGGGGCGGGGCACAGCCTGCAGACCCTGCCTGGGTGTCCAGCCCTGCCTCCTCCCCACCGCTCCCATCTCGGGGCTCTCAGCTTCTGACTCTGCATGCCCAGCCCATGTTCACGCATTTATCATCCCCATCAGCACTTGTGTATATTCATTATTAGGCGTAATTTCCTTTTTAGACACAAAGAAAGATGACGCCGGTCACAAATATACTGCCACACCAACTCAGCCAGTTGCCTTTGCATCTTTGGGAAGATTCGATTGAGACGAAGTTTAGAATCATGCAAAATGGAACTGATAATCATTTAAGGATCATCTCTGTGTGATGGAGTGAAAAAATTGGCTTAATGCTCAACATTCAGGAAACTAAGATCATGGCATCCGGTCCCATTTCTTCATGGCAAATAGATGGGGAAACAGTGGAAACAGTGGCTGACTATTTTTCTGGGCTCCAAAATCACTGCAGATGGTGACTGCAGCCATGAAATTAAAAGATGCTTGCTCCTTGGAAGGAAAGTTATGACCAGCGTAGACAGCATATTAAAAAGCAGAGACATTACTTTGCTAACAAATGTCCATCTAGTCAAGGCTATGGTTTTTCCAGTGGTCATGTATGGATGTGAGAGTTGAACTATACAGAAGGCTGAGCGCTGAAGAATTGATGCTTTTGAACTGTGGTGTTGGAGAAGACTCTTGAGAGTCCCTCGGACTGCAAGGAGATTCAACCAGTCCATTCTAAGGGAGATTAGTCCTGAGTGTTCATTGGAAGGACTGATGCTGAAGCTGAAACTCCAATACTTTGGCCACCTGATGCAGCAAGCTGACTCATTTGAAAAGACCCTGATGCTGGGAAAGAATGAGGGCAGGAGGAAAAGGGGACGACAGAGGATGAGATGGTTGGATGGCATCACCGACTCAATGGACATGGGTTTGGGTGGACTCCGGGAGTTGGTGATGGACAGGGAGGCCTGGCGTGCTGCAGTTCATGGGATCGTAAAGAGTCTGACATGCCGAGCGACTAAACTGAACTGTGTGATGAAATTGCAAAGGTAACCCCTCAGTTTCACAAAGCAGTTGCCTCTAATAGGGCAGCAGGTACACAGATATTCATTAAAGAAAAAAAACATTTAGATGTGTTATATATGTATTGTGGATGTATGCGTTTCATTATAAACACATCTTTAAAAAGCAACTCTAAAGAGAAAACAAAAAAGAAAGAAATAGGAAAAAAACAGAAAAGAATTTTTTTAATGGGAAAAAAAGCAAAAAATAGAAAAAAATAAAAAGCAAGTGTTAATAAAAGTTGCAGTCTTTCCTTCCTGCAGGCCCATGGAGTTATGTGGATCCCACTCCAGGCACGAGTGGCCTAGAGCCTGCTCACGACCAGGGCAGGGAGGTTCCTGTCTTGCTCCCTCACTCACTGCACAGGTCCATACCAGACACCTGTCAGGGCACCAGGCTTGGATAGGCGAGGCCCTGTCCTCAAGGGACCACCGAAGGCCACAACGCACGCACCAGATAAACACAACAGGCCATTCAGTGATGCACTCTACTGAGAAAATAAATGAAGACGCTGTGACAGCAAGCAGCGGAGGGGCGGCTTCAGCTGGAGTGGTCAAGGAGGGCCTCCCTGAGGAGGTGACAGTGCAGCGGAGCCCTGAAGGGTTGGGAGCCAGCCGTGGGAAGGTCTGCGGCAGAGTATTCCGGGCCGGGGTGGAATAGAAGATGCAAACTTCCAGGAGGGGGACAAGCTTGGGATCGCCAAGGAACAGAAAGAAACCACAGAAGCCAGCTGGGAACCAGGGCTCAGGGAAGGGGAAAGCCTGGAGAGGGGACAGCTGGCAGTGGGAATGTTCTCCGTGCGTCGCGGGACACGGGAGGGCTGGAAGCCGGTCACTGGCAGGGTCCCCCCGCCTCCACCCCCGGGCAGGAGAGCACTGCGGGACTCCAGGATGAGGGCAGGCCGGAGGTGAGGTGGCCCAGCGTTGCCGGAGGGCTCAGGCAAGGGCGCAGGGAAATACGGGCAACTGTGAGCCATGGGCGCCTGGCCTGAGCGTGGGGCCGCTTCCTAGCATCAAGGTAACCCCCGAGAGGCTCCGACAGCAGCCCTGAGCGGTGACCCGCTTCTCTGGGGCTCCCGTTGTGTGTAATCCTTGAAAGGCCATCAAGCAGCCTCTGAACGAGAAGATCTCACTCGGGTTGTAGTATCGAGCTCCGGTTGACACGGCCAAGGTCAGTGTCCCCGCAGAGCCGAGCACCTCACCCTTCCCGCCCAGCCTTGGCTGTGGGAAGTCGGTCTGGGATTGGGATTCACCAAGGGGAGGGGCCCCCGCCGCTCTCCAAGCGCATAACAGACCACCCCTGCCCCACACCAGCCGTCCTCCTCCCGCCTCTCGCCCGTCCCACTCTCGGGAGGCTCTCGCCCCCTGAGCTTCACGTGCTTGGCCTCTTGCCATCACATGTGACCACGAGGGTCCCCTCCCTGACCATCCCACCTAAGGGAACCTGCCTCCCCACTCCATCCCTCCTAACTTTCCATCCCAATTGTGAGCCTCAGAAACGTCACTCAGGCTGCATGCCTGCCACGCAGAGGCACCTCCAGCTATGCCTTGGACGCATCCATGAGCTTTGCAGGATGCCTACTATACGCAAAGGCAGCGCGGCCGTGCCGCCACACACACCAGACAACGAGGTCTTTCTGAACAGCCCTCCTGGACAGGGACTGTCAAGTTCATCTCACGTGTCCACTCTGCAGCTGAAAGCTGAGGCTCACAGACGGTGAGACCCGGAAACTGGCAAGTGCTCTCAGGCATTCGTCTCAGCCACTAAAACACAGAGCTAGAAGGTTTGCACTATTGGAGGAAGAGGCAGCATAAAAAGAGTAAGTCACGGAGATGCTCTAGCCACAAGACGGGAAAAACCTCTGAACACCTAGCTGACCACCAGAAAACCCCCTCCACAGGCAGAGTGTGAAATTATATATTCGGGCAAAAAATAAAAAAATCACAGGCACAAATAGCCTCAAAGCTAAGCGTTCAGGCCTAGGGTGCTACCGAAGCTTCCTTCACCTAGACTGTGTGACCTTGGGCAAGTTACATCTCCTCTCTGGGCTTCGGTTTCCCCATTGCTAAAATGAGGGTATTAACTAGACCTCATCTCAAAGGGCGGCTGAAAAATTAAACATGGGAATTGCTCCAAAGGTGTCCGGCACGCAGTGAGTGCTCGGTAAATGAGCTGCTGTAGTAGTTAGTTATTGGGTCTGATTGTTCCAAAAGGCTTGGGCCTGAGTCACAGGAACTATCCAAATAAGAATACACATGTGCCTTGCCATCCATCGAACAGGAGGGCCTGAGGGCCATGAAACTTCTCCCTTCATGCCCACTTTACAGATGGATAAGCCGAGGTGCAGAGAGCAGCAGGGCCTGGCCCCAAACCACCCTGCCACTCCCCGCCTGACCTGGCCCTCTGCCCCCACCCCAAAGGGCGGCCGCGGGACGGAAGGCGGGCGCCCTCCGTGGCTCCAGGGCTCCCTCCCTCTGTCCCTCCCGGCAGCTAGGTCCCTGCGGGGACGCTGAGGTCTCGGCGCCGGCGGCGGGAGGTCGGGCGGGCGGGGCGGCCAGGGGAGGTGATTTTCTGTTGTTTTCCCTTTCTCTCTCCCCTCCCGGGTCCCTCCGCCCCGCTTCTAATTAAAAAAGAGATAAAGCCGCACGCGGCCAGCGCCAATCAGCCCCACCGGCTTCCTGGATGCGCGCGGGGCGGCGGGGCGCGGGCCAAGATGAAGATTAAAGCAGGGGAAAAAAAAAAAGCAAAGCAAAGCCACCCAGACGCGGGCGAATCAATAACACTTAAAACAGCCGCAGGCGGGCAGCGCGCGAGCCCCGCAGCCGCCTCCCGGCCCGCGGTCACGGCCGGCAGCCGCCTGGCCCGCTCCTTGCGCACCTGCTGGCCGCCTCGGCCGGTCAACTTGCGAGATCGCCGGAGCCGCGGGGCGGGGAGGCGGGGGAAGCGAGTGACAAAACACAAAGGATCCATCACACTCACACACACTCACACACCCCGCCGCAGACCCTGCAGTTCGCCCCCTCCCCAAGCGGAGCTGGGGGCGCCTCTCCTGCGAAACCTGCCAAGGTGGCCCCGGCGCGTCGGAACCCCCATCCATCCCTGGAGCCCCCGCCCCCACGCTTCAAGCGCGCTATCTCCGAAGTACAAAGGGTGACTGGCCCTGCAAACGCAGCTCCAAGACGCGTCCCGGGCCGCCCCCTCCCACCTCCTAGAAACGCCGGGGTGAGGCGGGGAGGGCCGCTCGGCGGACGCGCCGGCCGCCTCGGGTGCCCAGCTTTAGGGGGCGGGCTGTCCCGCCTCTCGCCGGCGCTGGCTCGCGAGCTTGCGTCCCTGGGTGTCGCGAGCCATCTCCAGCTCTATCCTTGTGTGCGTCTGCTCGGGTGGCTGGCGCTGTCCCCTCGGCCCGGGGGCCTGAGGGTCCCTGGAAACGCGTGGTGCCCAGGCTTCTGGGCTTTGGCCCAGCGAACGTCCCTCCCTCCGGGTACCTGTTCCCTTCTCGCAGACCCGCCCCGCCTGCCACCCGGGGACTGCCCTGCACTAGGAGCGGCTGTGCCCGCCCCTCTCTGGACACTTTCTCTCGGGCTCTGGGGGCTGAGCTCCCTGGGAGCGGCTGTGGTCCTGGCTGGCGGTCCCATGCCCCGGTCTGAGTGTCCCTGGGAGGCGCTGACCCTTTGCAGCGGGGGACCCTTTTCAGAGTCCCCCGCGCTGGAGCGTCCCTGCCGGTTGTCCTTGGCTTGGGGTGGGGGGCTTCCTCCCTCGGGCATTCCCAGGACGGCCGGTCCCCCTGCCTGTGTCTCTGGAGCTGTGCGCGCCCCTGGGGCTCGCGCCTGCGGGGGCCCTTTGTGCGCCCACCGCTCCCGCACCTCACCCCCTCGGCCTCTCTGCGGAGCCAAGGAAGTTGGCGGCCGGCGGCGGCTCAACCCCTCCCCGAGACACGCCAACTTTGCCGGGACGCGCGCGCAGGGGGTGCGAGCGGCCCTTACCCGATCCGGAGGTAGACCATGCCCAGGCTGAGAAAGAGGTGGCCCAGGCAGCGCCGCGCTTTTCGGTTCATAGTCCCCGCTGGCCGCCGGGGCCGCGGGCCGGGCCGGGCTGATCCCGCGGGCCGGCCCTGGCGGGGCAATCCACATAGCCCGCCCTGGAGGCGCGGGCCGAGGCTTCCCGAGGCCGTCTGTCGTGCGCCCGTCCGCGCGCTCGGCGCCGGAGCCTCGCCGGGAGCGCGGGAGCCACCGAGCCCCGGGGAGGAGGGAGGAGCGAGCGCGGCGCGGGGCGACGCCGGGCTGCGCGCGAGCGGCCGGGGCGAGTGTGCGAGGCGCGGGGCGTGCGGGGGCGCTGCAGCCGCCCGCCCCCGCCCCTCCCACCGTCCCCCGCCCCCTCCCCGCCCGCCTCCCCGGAGCGCCCGCCCCGCGCCCCCGCGCCCGCGGGACAGGGCCGCCTGCTCCGAGCGCGCTCACGCTTGCCCCACGCGCTCCCGCGGCGCCCCCTCCCGGCTCCCGGGCGCCCAGCCGGGTGGGGGGCAACGGGAGTCCGCACGAGCCGCCCCTCCGGCGCCAACTAGCCAACTGCGAGGCGAACGGACGCGCAGGGACGGCTCTCGGGTTTGGGGGCGGAAATCGGGGATCGGCCAAGAACCCTCGCTTGCTCCCGGGCCCGCATCCCCGTCCCGCCGAGTGCTCGGAGCTGGGGGTGTCGTGGGGAGCTCACCCCAATCCCCGCCTCCACAGCTTCGGGGGAGGGCGCCCCCTTTCGCAGGGCTAGTGGCGGAGGAGGATGACTTGGCTCAGCATATCCATCCTCACCCCAGTCTATTCGAGGCGGGGAGGCGGGTGGGTGCCCAGGTGAGACAGCCTCCGCTCGGATCCCGCTCCTGGAGGACAGTCGGAGTCGGGCGGAGGCCTGGACACCCCGCTCCCAACCCAGACGCGGGGCGCTCGAGCCGCCCTAGGGCTCCGGGCGCAGCCGGCGGCTCAGCGCGCGCTCGCGGCGACACCTGCCGGGCAGTGCAGATAGGCCTGGCTCGCTCGCGGGGACAGCGTCGGAGCTTACTAGAGGAACTGCCCCCTTCCCGTGATACAGTCGGCTAGGGACTCTGGGACTCAGACTGCAACGGAAGAGATCGAAGCTCAGGGCAGCTAAGGTGTTTTCCTAAAGACGCCAGCTGGAGGAGTGGCTGAGCCAGATTGCTAACAAGGCGTGCGTGACTCTAGTGAACAGTTCCCGGCTCCCCAGGGCTATTACTTCTGAATGGCTTTTCTAAATCACACAAGGTCAATGAAAACCCCTATTCTTAGCGTCCATTCCCGTTGCACAGATGTCTGTGCCACGCCCCAGGCTGGGCGCCACGGATATTTGAAGGAATAAATACAACATCTTTCAATCCGAGCTGGTGGAGGAGGCAGACCCGAAGTAAACAAGTGCATAATTGGAGACGTCAGAGGGGCAGGTGCAGATGATAAGACAGAATGATGGGGGAGAGACAGCCCTAGGGCTGGAGGGTTGATCTTAGACGTGAGACCTGAAGGGCAGGGAGGAGAGGGTCCGGCAGGGCAGGAAGCAGGAAGGCAGGACAGAGGCTCTCCAGGGGGCAGGAGCCCCAGGAGGAGATGAGGGCTGCCCCAGAGAGAAGGAAGGTCAGCGACGCGGGATGGGGGAGATGGCGTGTGGACCCCATCGAGCTCCGTTGGCAGACGAGCAGCCATCCTCCTCCTGTGTTTCTCCCAGCCCTGAGCAGCCTGCCTCCAGAAGGTCACTCAAACGTGCTCTTTCTTCTCTACACGCACCGTCATTCTTAGACCAAAGACACACTCAGGTCACAAATATTAAGGGACATTCAGAACCAGGGACTGGTTCACAACCAGGACGTTGGGGCCGGTGGATCAAATAAATAATTCAGTGCCTGCCCTCCAGAGGCAAGTAGTTTGAGGACCAGTTTAATCATCACATAGGTAGCACGTGCTGCATGCCAGGTGCTGTCATCAAGAACGTCAGCATATCAACTCATTTAGTCCTCGATACTATGAGATCGGTGTTCCTCTTGCTAACATGAATGGAGTGTTGGAGGGGGTGGGGTGGGGTGGGCTGCAGAGATGAGGCCCAAGAGGAGGTCTGGGGATAAATTCAGGGTACAAGCTCCGGGAGGGACAGGGAAGCCTGGTGTGCTGCAGTCTGTGGGGTTTCAAAGAGTCAGAACAGCTCAGCGACTGAACAACAAGGAAAGTGAATTAAGTATGGGCCTTCTCCGAAAAAGCAGCAGAGGTGTGACAGCCTCCGATTTGTGCTTCAGAAGGCAGGCGGCAGCTGTTATGGGACCAGTAGAGGGAGGCAGGACATGAGGTGGGAGGTTACTGGGGGGAGAGAGGGCTCAGGTTGGACAACGCTCAAGGAGGCCAGTGGATGCAGACAGTCTGAAGGCAGGGGAGACGGGATGAAGAGGCCCCAGGACGGGCTTCTGCCCTGGGAGGCAGGGTGGTTGATGAGGACAACCTGGAGCCGGGCAGTAGAAGCTGGTCTGAGGCCCGTGAACTTGGTTTTGGAGGTACTGAGTTTGATGTGCCTGTAGGTCACTGATCAGACAAGTGAACGTGTGTGCCGGGAGAGAGGGTGTGGGCTTCTGAGGGTGACTGAGGTCTCCGCAGCCAGCAGTCGGTTAAGCCAAGGCAGGGATGGGACGCTGCCTTGGGAGGCAGAGAGGCTGAAAGTGTGAAAGTGTTAGTCCGACTCTTTGCCATCCGGTGGACTGTAGCCTTCACAGGCTCCTCTGTCCATGGGATTCTCTAGGCAAGAACACTGGAGTGGGTTGCCATTCCCTGCTCCAGGGTCCCGACCCGGGGATTGAACTCGGGTCTCCTGCGTTGTAGGCAGATTCTTTACAGTCTGAGCCACAGGGGAAGCCCCCAAAGAGAGGCTGAGTATGATGGAAAGGACCAGCTAGGGGCGGGAGCAGCAGGAGCGCTTGGAAGTCACTGAGAGAGCCGGGAAGGAGCAAGGTACTTGCAGGGTCAGACCCTGCAAGGGAGGTGAGGGCATTTGGCATTTAGAGACCCTCTCTTGAGCCACCTCCGGCAGGCCTGGAGCGGGGCTGGGGGCTTTGGCGCCCCCTGCTGGAGTCAGCTAGAGGCTGCTTGGTTCCCAAGGCTGGCAGTGATCGGTCCTAACACACCTGGTGGGGTGGTTGCCAGAGTGTGGGCTCTTAGAGGGGGTCAAAGCCTGGCCCCCCCATTTGTCTCTGTGACCTTGGGGCAGGTCTTCACATCTCTCCTTGGCGCGTCTGTAAACCGGGGGTGGCTACAGTTTCTACCTCCGAGCATCGTGAGGTTTGAGACGCTCACAGAAAGTGCTCAGAAGGCGGCCTGGAGCACCATGAGGGCCATGGACACGTTTGGGATGTTAAATCCATGGGGCTGGCCACAGATACCACTCAGTGACACCGCTAAGCAGGAAAGGACATTGTGTGTAAGACGGTCTCTCTCTTCATTTGTGCTTACGAGAAAAATGTCAGCAACGCAAACCAGAGGCGAAGTTTTCATCACTAAAGTATTTGGAGGGCGTGGAGATTCCCAAGAGCCAGGCTCCCAGTGACCTGCTGCCTGGGGCAGCCTCTGGGGGAAGTTGGGCCCTTTCCAGCACGAGGCGCGCAGAGCCGTGGGGCATGGGGCAGGGCGCTCGTGTGGGAGCCAGGAGAGTACGTTCTCCTTGGTCATTACTTTGCTTGGCTCCGAGGAAGTCATTGCCTGTCACCTCCTCTGTAAACTGGGGTGAGGATGATAATGCCCCCTCACAAAATATATGCAGTCATGTATGTGAGCATTTAGCAGAGCATCTGGTAGGTATCATGCACTCAGCATGTGATCACTATTTGATGCTGATGAAGATGATTTTGGTGATAATATTGTATATTGGGATCCTTTAGGATCTTCAGGAATCTTAAAAGTCATCTAAATCGGTGTTTTTCAAACTTCCAGGTGCAACAGAATGACTTGGTTACAAAAAAAAAAAAAAAAAAAAAAACCCAGTGCCCAGGTCCTCTCCTGAATTTCCTGGTGGAGGTGGACATCGCTTTTCTGATTATAACCAGCTCCCAAGGTACCAGCCAAGTCTGGCTTCATTGGAGCCCAAGCCTCATGCAGAGCCCATCCCCCTTTGGACCTGTCCTGGCTGAGTGGTGGCCACTGCGCCCAGAACTCTCACCAGGAGGCAGCTCACTTCATTCAGGTGTGGGAAGAGCAGGTCTCCACTGTCTCTGGGCCTTGATGCCTCCAGCTCAGACAGGGCTGCCCTATGTCTGCATCTCCCCCAAAGGAACTTCTGCAGACCCTTAGTTTTCCAGAGACAAGCTCAAGGGTCCAAGAGTAAGGATTTTAAAATTGTCTTATTTCAGTGCAACGTGACTAGAACATCCGCGGATCTTGGATGATTGGGGATGACAGCTTTCTGACTGAAGGCCACCCTCCGCTGACTGCGCTGCTTGAGTTTACCTCTGTGTTGACTGCCATTGACTATATTTAATCTGTAACTTGCTGACTTTAGAAGAGCCTATACTTAGTTTTATGATAGTATATACTAAACAATGTAATACAGGCAGATCTCTGAGTTATCGTGGGTTTGGTTCCAGACCACCAATGATCCAGACAGTAATGCAAATATCTCAATAAAGCAAGTCACAAGAATTTTTTGGTTTCCCAGTGCATATAAAGCTATGTTTATACTGTACGATAGTCTGTTACATGTGCAATAGCATTATGTCCAAAAAAAGTACACACTTTAAAAATACTCTGTTGCTAAAAATGCTCACCATCATCTGACCCTTCAGTGAGCTGTGGCCTTTTTCCAACAGTAATGTAATGCCCACCCATCAGAGATCACCTTAACAAATATAATAATGTTGAAAAAGTTGAAATATTTTGAGAATGACCAGAATATGGCACAGAGACCCAAAGCAAGCAAATGCCATTGGAAAATAGGCGTTGATAGATTTAGTGAACACAGGGTTGCCACAAACCTTCAATTTGTAAAAAATTAAAATGAAAAAATCTTTGAAGCACACTACAGCGAGGT